CGGGCCTGGGGCGCTGCGGCGGCTCCGCTCGGCCGGGGGGACCGCGGGTACGGCCGGGGATCAGCAACAGGAGACAGGGATCGCGGCCTCCTGAGGGAACGGGGAGAGGGGAGATTGCTGATTGCGGGCAGTACGGGGAGGGAGCATCGGGGCTGTGGCGCACATGGAGCGGCTGGGGCTGCACCGGGGGCGGGCCCGGCCTGCTGGGTGTCCTGGGCTGGGGATGCACCTTCAGCAGCCTCACCTGTGTTGTGTCCCCATCTGTCACCTGCTGCCGTTTGTCTCCCAGCTCCCTCAGCCCGTGCTGGCTGTGGCTGGCGCTGCGCTGTTCGCTTTGGGCCTGAGGGCAGGGAGCTCGCCCTGCCCGGGCTCCCCTGGCTGCTCGGTGCTGTCACTGAGCCCTGCGAGCGGTGGAGGCAGCTTTCCTCAAGCCTGGAATGTCCCTGCCATCCCCTGCAGGGATCCAGGGCACGGCGGGCACCCCGAGGCCGAGCAGCAGGAGGAGGAGGAGGAGGAAGAGCCTCGCCATCGCCTATGAAGCGGGACAGGGCGATGGGGCCGAGCCCCGGGGAGAGCGCTGGGAGCCGCCGGCCTGGCGTGAGCAGCTGGAGCGCATCCGGGAGATGAGGAGCAGCAGGGATGCTCCTGTGGATGAGATGGGAGTGCACAAGTGCTACGACATCAGCGCACCTCCGCAGGTACCAGGAATCCCACGGGAACAGGAATCCCACTGGGATCAGCATTCCCAGAGGGAACAGCAATCCCACAGGTACCACTATTCCCAGAGGGATCAGCATTCCCAGAGGGAACAGCATTCCCACAGGGAACAGCATTCCCAGAGGGATCAGCATTCCCACAGGGAACAGCATCCTGCTGCCAGCTCCGGCAGGCACAGGAAAACACAGCCTCCCTCATGCTCATGAATCTGTCCCACTTGGGATGTTTCCAGGATAGAAACTGGAGTGGGACTCTGGGACCAATCCCAGAGGATGTGATGGATGTGAGGGGCAGTGCTGCCATGTTCTTTTTTCCCTTAAAAGACTCTGTAGGAGTCCAAGGAAAGTACCCAGCAAGGTGGCTGTGGAATGCAGAGGAATGTGGGGAGCACCCATGGGCAGACTTGGAGGAGCAGTGGGAGCCACTGGAGTGGGAATGTGGGAATTGTTAGGGTTGGAGGTGACTATGGAGACCAGCTAATCCAACCCCAAGGAACTGGAGCAGCAGGAATCTCTGGAGTGGGAATGTGGGGATCATCCAGAGGCAAGCTCAGAGGAGCAGCGGGACCTGCTGGGCTCTGAGGGAGGGGTCTGGAAGACACAGCTGGACAGCCTTGGCACATAGAACGCTGTCCTTGCTGCTGGCATCCTGCCCTGGGCTGGGATCCCTGGGGAGAAGATGAGCTCTGAGCCCAGACCCAGAGAGCTCACACGCTCTCAGCCACGTGGGCTGGCAGCTGTGGGGCCAGGGGACCACAGTGCACCACACAGAAATAGCTTCTCTTCCCTGGGGAAGCGAGCTTGTTGCTGCCAAGAAGAAGAGGATGTTGTAACCCTCAGCTCCTCACACCATTTCTTTCTACCCTGAGATTATCCTGCTTCCACGCACTCAGGGACTTTCCCTGGTGCACCTGTGGTTTTGTAAACTTTGCAGGAGAGCTGGAGGGAGGATTGTGTCCCATGTTATCCCGGGTCATTTTGGGCTAGTTGCATCATCCTCCTCACTCTGGTGGGATGGAATCACATCTGGGGAGAAAGAATTGGGAAATAGGAGGTGATGGCCTAGATAAACCCTGTGTGGAAGCAGCAGAGGAATTCCTGGGATTTGTCCTTCTTCTCCCAGTCTCTGTCATCCCAGTTCTTTGGATTTGGTTCCCTGAGGAGCTCACTGGAGTCAGACACCCGGTTCCTTCTGAAGCCTACTGGGAAAGGGTTGGGATTTTCAAAAGCTGCTTAGAGCAGAAGTTGCATGAAAAATCATTGGGCATTTATACTTGTGCATCCTGTGGGTCTCCTGAGAATGCCATCCTCAGGAAAAGCTTTGTCCAGCCCTTTGTGGTTCAGCACTGGCGTCTTTGGAGTGAGATCCCAGCAAACAGAGCTGCTCCCTGCCCTCTCACAGCTGAGCTTGAAGGTGTTTCTTACCTCCCTTTATTGTATGAAAGGTTATGGATTATTCCTGTTGCACCTCCCAGTCTCTTGGAGGTGGGTATGGCTGATGGGTGGGAGCTCACCCTGCACTGAGGACAGTGCTGGACCCTCCCAGGGTGTCTCAGTGTCCCTTTTGTCCCCAGGTCATGCGCTACCAGGTGCTGCTGGCCCTGATGCTGTCCAGCCAGACCAAGGACCAGGTGACGAGCGCTGCCATGCTGCGCCTGCGCCAGCGCGGCCTCACCGTGGACAGCGTGCTGCAGATGGATGAGGAGAGCCTGGGACGGATCATTTATCCCGTGGGATTCTGGAGGGTGAGTGCAGGATCGCCACAGGGACACAGAGGAACCCCCTGTGCCCTTCTTGCAGGGAGCTCTCCCCTGGGATCAGGCTAAGAGCTGGATTTGACACCAATTTTGGCACTTTGTATTGCCAGCAAGATGAGATTCTTGGCTGCAGGATCTGGAGCCTGCAGGGAGCTTGGAGCTCCCAGCTCTCAGCATTTTGACTGCAAGTAGAAGTCAAGGCTCTGTCTCCTCCACAGCTCCCATGTGTAACACACACTCAGGAATGGCTGTTTTTCTGGGCTGGTGTGTGTCTGTTTTCCCTGTGCTGGAGGGCAGCTTGGATTGTGTGCCTTTCCCCTTGGTTTTCCAGAACAAGGTGAAGTACATCAAGCAGACCACAGCCATCCTGAAGCAGAAGTACGGGGGTGACATCCCCAGCACTGTGGAGGAGCTGGTGCAGCTGCCAGGAGTTGGGCCCAAAATGGCCCATTTGGCCATGCACATTGCCTGGGACAGCGTGGCTGGGATAGGTAACCTGGACTCTGCTTTTCCCATCCCTCTCCTAAATCCAATCCATTCTCCAGGCAGAGGGGAAGCGCTGCAGCCCCAGCTGCAGGAGCCTGGTAACATCCCTTCAGCCATCTGCAGGGTATTTGGGTGGGGGAACGATGTGACCCTCAGCCTCTCACTCAGTGAGCTGTAGGATTTAAGCAGCTGCTGTTCCTCCCCAAATCTGACAGCAGAAATTCCCAAGGGAGGTCACTGCCCTGGGGAGCTGGTGCCAGATGGGGCTGGACCATCACCTGCAGGTCCCTGGGGATAGATTAGCATTCCAAAAGGATGTGCTGCTTGATGGAAGAGCCCTGGGAAAGCCAGGACAAGGCGGGAGCTGGATCCTGCAGCCCCTCTGGTGACCATCAGCTGGACAGGCCGTGGCCCCTGCACTGCATCCAGCAGCTCTTGGGCTCTGTTGTTCTCCTGCTGTGGGGGAGGGAAGTCCAGAGGCAGCCAAACCAGCCAAGTGTTTTCCAAATAATTGTGTGCTCCGTTTTGATTTGGGAGGCAAGGCTTAGTCTTCCTGTTTACAGCAATTTCCTGGGTTTTGCCCAATTAGCCCCAGAGACAGGTTTATCACTGCTGATCTAACAATAATACACTTTGCATTCAGAGCTTTTGAGCTCAAAGCACATTATAAACACTGCTTTAAGCCTCCCAAGCCCTCTCTGCTGGTGGGTATTATGAAATGTGTTTTCCACGTGGGCAGAGGAAGGGGCAGAGATCACAATTTGCGTAACTTCAGCTGAAGCTCCGGGAGGATGAGAACGTGGAGAGGGACGGGGGGCCAGGCTGCCCTGTGACTGCTCCGTGGGGCAGGGGAGCCTTGGGAGAGAGGCTGGCTGGGGCTGGGTGAGCCTGGGGAGAGACACCCACCCCAAGTGCTTTTGGCTCCGGGCCTGGGAAGAAAATGTTTGTTCTTGGAGTGAGCAGCCCCTGCCCTGCGCTCCCACTCCCCCCTGCCCGCAGGGGAAGCCTTGCCCTGGGCCCTGTGGCTGTCACAGGCAGCTCTGGCTCTGCTCTCTCCGTTCAGGTGTGCCTGCCCCACCTAAACTCTGGGCTCTCCCTCCCCAGCTGTGGACACCCACGTGCACAGGATCTCAAACAGGCTCAAGTGGGTGAAGAAGGAGACCAAGTACCCCGAGGAGACTCGGGTGGCTCTGGAGGAGTGGCTGCCCAGGTGAGCCTCTGCTGGCTGCAGGAGCCATGTCTGCACGAAGTCCTGCTTGGGGCAGTTCCAGGGACTGCATTTTGGCTCCCTCCTCTTTCCAGGGTTGCAGTAGCTGCAGTAGCTCTCCCAGAGCTGCAGCAGCAGCAGCACCTCACCTGCGTGCTGGTTCTGTTGCTGTCAGATGGATCAGTCTCCACCAGCAGAGCTCTTGACCCCTGATTTTTGCCTTACCAAGTTGACCATGACTCAAGCCAGGTGCTTTTCCACACAGGGCCTTGCTGAGCCCAGCGGCCACAGCAGCATCAGCCCAGGGCCGGATCCTGCCCCTGCTGGTGATTGATTTTCAGTATTGAACAGCAGCTGACACGTACACAGGGACAGCTCCACACCTGGCACGTGCCCCAGCACAGGCATCGCTCCCCACCCAGCTCAGCAGGAGCAGGAAAGGCTGGGAGGGCTGTTCCTAGCAGGGATCAGGAAGGGCTGGGACTCACCTCCAGGGGAAGCCAGGAGGAACAGGCAGAAGGGGAAAGGGATCCCATTAACACCACAGGCTGTTCCTTACCCCTTCCAAGCAGCTGTGTGTCAGCACTGCTGTTTCTCTTCTCGCTGCAGGGACCTCTGGAAGGAGATCAACTGGCTCCTGGTGGGCTTTGGGCAGCAGACCTGCCTGCCTGTGAACCCTCGCTGCAGCCAGTGCCTCAACCAAGACATCTGCCCAGCTGCCAAGAGACCCTGAGGGATCATCCAGCCTTTGGAGAGCCACCAAGCTGCTTGGGCTGAGTCCTGCTAAAGCTGGGCCTGGCACAGGGCTGGCAGTGTGACTGCAGGGGACAGGAGCCTGCTGCAGCAGCCCCAGGGAGCAGCCACTGGCAATGGCTCAGCTCTCCAGAGGAAAAAGGGGCTTTGAGAGGCAGCAATCCTGCTGGGACAGAGCTGAAGGCTCCAGCCTGGTGAATGGCTGAGCATGTGCCAGCTGTGCCACACTGAGTCACTAGAGAGGAAAGCTTTGTGCTCAGGGACTTGCTGCTGCTTGTAAATACTTGTTTAATAAAGGTGGTGAGGGTATTTTGCACCCACGAGCTTTGCTGGCCTTTGTGTGACACTGGCTGAGGGGTGAACGTGGGTGACCTCAGCAAGGCTGAACCGTGGCAACCTGCCCAGCCCTGCCACACAAGCAGCTGTGCTGCCAGCAGGGCAAGAGCTGTGCCAGGGGGCATCCAGGGTGGACAGCAGGAGGGATTTCTTCATGGAAAAGGTTGTTAAACACTGGAAGGGGCTGCCCAGGGAAGTGCTGGAGTTCCCAGCCCTGGAGGTGGCACTCGGTGCTCTGGGCTGGGGATGGTTGAACTTGATGATCCTGGAGATCTTTTCCAGCCTTGGTGATCCTGGGATTCTGAGGTGCAGCTGAAGCCTTCCCAAGGCAGGAGCAGAGGGAATCACTGCCTGGATGAGTGACCTCTGGGCAGGAGCCAGTGCCACTGAGTGTTCGTGCCACGAGGGTTACAGCACCCACCCCCAGGAGCTGACAGAGGGACAGCACCACCCCTGGTTTTGTTCTTCAAAGAAAGGGCAGTGCTGACTTCATTGTGGAGCTTCAAAGGAGTAATTCCAGCTCCTCTTTAAAGAGGCGAGGGAGGAAGCAAAGTTTACAATGTGCTAAAGGGCTGCAGTTCCGCTCTGGGCTCCCTGAGCAGCTGAGGAAGGAGCAGATAAGTGCTGGGTACATGGCAAACCAAGTTTATTACTGACATTACCGTGTACATGGTGGGTTTGCAATGCTGCTGACAGCCTTAGACTTTATTGATTTCTTTCTTTTCCAAGTTAAATGTACAGGAACTGAATAATTACTACTGAGCTACAAGATGTCAGGAATGCAGTAATGCTTCAACCAGGAGCAGTTTCCACAGACTAAGAGATTAAAATTTTCAATCTTACCAACACGGATTTGCACACCTGATTTCTTTTGATCTACATTCAACACTACACAAGGTTGTTTTTTTGTTTTTTTCTTACTCCCCCCCTTCAAGTACAGCAGTCCTGGATGAGAATTGGGGTGTTGTCACCAGGTCTGTGCTCTCTGCTGTGTCCTGGGAACGCTCTGCCCTGCACAGCCCGGCGCTGCCGGGGTTTGGCAACACGGGCACGGGAAGCAACGTGCACACCATGGAAAAGAGCTCCTTCCAAACATCACCCAGAGAGAGAAGACAGTATTTTGGGGGCCAGAAAGAGAGCAGGAATTTGAAGTGGGAGGGGGAAGAGGTGTCTTGTTAATGGCAGAGCCCCAAGGGGAGGCAGCCTCTCTACATCCCCCATCACCCCAGCGCCTGTCTCGTCACCCACAGCCAAACACCTGCACCTGTTCCTCTGCAAAGTCATTATTTTCAACCTGTTCAGCCCATCGACAATCCTAGAAGATAACTTTCATAAAGAGAACTCATCTCCTTCACCCCTGAGGCTCTCCACACTCTCCTGCCAGCAGCATAAGGCCACGGGCTCCAGCTGCTCCCCAGGGAAGCCAAACACCCTGTGCTGAGCCCCAGCTCGCTGCTGAGGAGGGCAGAGAATGGTATAAGGCACCTTTTAGCTCCAAAATGTGGAAATACCTTAGGAAATCCATGCAGAGCTGTTCCCACATCCATAGCACACTGACCACGCGAGGGTTTCATCCCAGCAGGGCACAGCCACAGCTCTGTGGTCACACCATCCACGGCCAGGGGACTGGGAAAAGTGGCTTTGTACTCCCAGTCCCTTCCCACAGCAGGGCTGGGATTGCTGCTGGGGTGTGGGAGGGAATGGGACAGCTCCAGCCCCTGTCCTGCTAACTCAGCTCTGCTACCTGGGAGCGCTGCAGCTCAGCTGAGTCACCTTCACTCACACAGCCAAAGGCAACAATAAAGAGCTTACACGGACTTAATCTGTAATGCTTTAAAGATACACTCAGTGCCCAGAGTGGGGCTTTGGAGGAGGCCACAGGAAGCCAAAGGTGCTGCCCACTCCATCACACCAGTGCTTGCTCCATCTCCAGCCCCACGGTTTCGGAGGATGTCCTTCCAGCGGTGACGCTCCCGGCTGGGGCCACCAAATCCAGCCCAGGTGGGACCTGGACCAGCCCCACTCCCCAGCACCGAGCCTCAGACAGAGCTGCATCCCTGTGCTCCCTCCTGGAAGCAGATGTTGGGTGATCCCCGCTGCCAGGTCTGTCCAAGGAGTTTTTGTAGCATCTCATGGTTGTCATCTTCGTGCTCCGTGGGGCAGGACTGGCCCCTCTTCCTCCTCCCCTGCCGCATCCACGGCTGCAGGCAGGGAGAGCTGTGCCCTTTGGGCTTGGGGTTTGCTTTTAAACCCCACCCTCTCCCCTCTGCACAGCTGTTTGGGGTGAAAAATGGGCTTTTACTGCCTGGGCAGGAGCTGCTGCTGGGGGGAGGTTCCTAAACTAACTGGAAACACATGGGATTTCAATAAAAAAAAACCAAAAAAAACCCAACAAAACAAATGTTTTTGCTTCAATAGCAAAGCCAACAAACCATTTCCAGCCACAGTCCATCTTCCCGTGGTGGGAGTAGCTAATGCTGGGCATGGGGAGCTGGGGAGGGGGGTCCTGGCACCCCCACCCTGCAGGGACCCACCACGAGCCGTGAGATGTTTCCACAGGGGCACAGAGCATCCCATGGGGCTCAGCCTGGGACACCCACAAAGCCAAAACACCTCACAGAAAAAGTAAAAAAGAAGTAACAGAAGCCTTAAATGATGCAGGTAAGGAACAAGAGTTAAAATTCTTCCAGTCCTTTCTCATAGGGACGGTGGGCAGCTGGAGCCGAGCTCAGAGCAAGCGAGAAAAGGAGCTTTGGTCACATTTGTCTTATGAGAATCGCTGGTGAGTAACAATAACAATAATAATAACAACAATAATAATAATAATAAAAAATAAAAATAAAAAGGACTTTAAAATACGCCTCATAAAAGCAACCAGTGAAGAGCAGAGCACAAAGCATCTCACGTGGACACCGAGGGACAGGGCGTAGGCACCTCAGAAACGTCCGAGCTGGGGCGGGAGGAGAGCGGACGGCGGCCACCAGCAGGGCTCAGAAATTGCTGAAAATCTCCCGTTTCTTGTTCCAGTCCATCTGCGGCGCTCGCTTCTTCACACGCTTGGCCCTCACCTTCTCCTTGGCCTCGGCGGCCGTGGGGCTCAGGCTCAGCCCGCTCTCCTCAAACGGGTCCTTCTTGTCCGTGTCTCCGTCCTGCGTGGGAAGGGAGGGAGTGTCAGCATTCCCACGCCCTCACACGGAATGCCAGAGGTTGGAAAACCCTCTGGGATCATCGAGTCCCACCTCCCCTCTGGGATCATCGAGTCCCACCTCGTCACCAGCACTGAGTGCCACATCCAGGCATTCCTCCACCACCTCCCAGTGCTTAACAGGCCCACCAAGGATTTCCTCCAGCCTGCACAACAAGCAAATGCTCAGGGATGGGTTTTTTTAGGAGCAGAAGGTCAAAGCTCCTTCCCTGTGCTGTGCCTGTGGAATTCATTTGTTTTGTGGGGGTGTTTCCCCTGCCTGAAGAATGTGTGACTGCTCAGCTGGGAGTGGACAAGCAGGAACTGGGGAGGTGCTGCCCACTGCACTCGTGTCAGCCGTGGGTAAAGCCAGCACGGAGATCTTTGGTTTCAGGGAAACATTTCAGAGCTCTCCTGCTGCCCCAGCACACATGCCCAGCTCTGAAACAGAGCACAGACCCTGCTGATAACGGTGGGCAGGGCCTGCCATCAGCACTGAGATAACAGCAGGGCTGAACTAAAGCAAACTGAGCCCAGGAAATCCCCCCAGGGACCCCTGAGCAGCCCAGGAGAGCTCCAGCACAGCCCATTTCCCCACCCCAGGGACTCTGACTGGTGCAGTGACCACGGCAGAGCCCCAGGACACAGCCTGGCTTTCCCAGGGCAGAGCCATTGGATCAGGACATGCATTATTCAGCTCCTCAGGGGGGAACTGGCAGATTGCAGGCGCTTGGCCACAGCTGGTGCCCGAGCCTTGGGGCTGAGGGTGCTCAGAGAGGCCATGTGAGCACTTGGTGCTGTCACATTCCTGCTCCCAAATGTCCCAGGGCAGGGGACAGCATGGCAGAGACCCCACAGGGCACCTGCATGGGGATTTTGTTCTATTTACAGCAAAGCCTTGTGCTAAAGGTAAATTTTTGAGCACTTTGCGAATCCCCAACTTCTCAGTGCAAATCCCCACTTCTTATTTTAAGAGGAGAAAAACCTGCTAAATCATTAATGCCTGAGAATACTGATCTATGCCCTGTGTTGACTTTTGGTTGCCACTTCACCTTGCCCAACAAGTTTTGAACCTTTCCAGTGTTGAGCCATACCATAGAAACCCCTTCAGCCCAGCCTGTCACCAAAAACAACCCCTCCCCTCCTTTAAACACTGTGATAAATTCACTGTGCTCCAAATTTTAAAAAAAAATAATAAATTAATTAAAATTGGCTTTTTTTTTTTCAGTTTTAGCCTGCCCTGGTGCTGCTGGCAGCACTTGAGCCTCACAGCTCTGCTCCTCACAGATCCCCAGCCTTGCTGTAGCTCATCAGTGTAAAATTACACCTCAGATCCCAAACCCTGCAGCCATCCCTTCAGCTCCCACCTCCCAAATTATCCAAGCAGGAATCACCACCCAAGGAGGTGCCAGTGAACACCCACGGTGCAAGGGATGAGAGAAAAGCCTGGATTTTGGTTGCTGGGTGGGTACAAGTGAACCTTGTCTGGGAGATAAAATAAAACTGATTGACAGAGAGCACTGTGAGGCAGGATTGCACTCAGGGTGCAAAAGGGACAGGGAGCCTTTGGGGTTTTTACCTCAGATTCCTTCCCAGGACTCTGCAGGTCGCTGTGAGATGAAGATGTGGATCCTCCATTCAGCTGGAGGAAAGGAAAACATCAGTTTGCTTTGTGCCAGAGTAAAAAACACAACAAATCCCTGGATCCAGCAAGGCTGGGCTGCTCCAGGGATGGAATGGAGCTGAAGGGATGGATGGTCCTGCTGCAGGAGCTCCCCTGCATCCCCTGCTGCTCTCCCACAC